CAGTAGTATGACATACATAGGTATATAAATATGAATTAAACGATTGCATGGGGTCCCCAGTCATGATTACTGGAGTCATTTTCAGCCTGCAGGCATGTTCCTGCCTTCTCATCTTCAAGCTCCCCTTGGAATAGCTCACTCGTAGTAATTCTTAAGGTCTCATTTAATACACAATTTTCACAGAAAACCCTTCCTTTAGTCTCTCCAAAACACCTGACTATTTGAATCCATGAGCGGGTTACTAGAGAAAGACCCTTGGAGTTTCAGAGGCATCTTGCATTTTAGTAAATGTGAAGGACTGATGTTTTGTTCTTGATGAAAGTGCTCAGTAGCGTATGTCCAGTGGATCTGAGTACAGTGCTACTGCTTCTTCTTAGATAGACTTGCTACTGCATTTCCATGTTGCCAACACAGCCACTCAGTGAAGGCCTGCTGCGTCCCTATCATGAGTCAGGGGTTGGTTTCACTGTGAATAAGGCAGGCTCCACACCTCTTTCTTCCAAATGTGGCTGTGAAAGAGGCATCCATCCAGGGCGCCTGAGAGTGCAGCCCTGCGGGAGGCATGCTGGGCAGTCACCCCTATATAAGAGGAGGAGGAAGGAAAAGAAAAGACTGTGGAGACTCCCAGAAAGGGCTGAAAGGGAAGCGGGGAAAGCGATTATTCAGAAGACACAGAGGAAAAGCAGCCTTGGGAAAAAATAAACCATGAGTACCAGAAGATGCAGAGAATCACGACCTCTAAGAAACAGAAACAGGACATCAAGAAGCAAAAAGGCTGCTCTAGAAGACAATGGAATAAGATGACAAGGGACGCCGAGGAAATAAGGATTACCAGAAAACTGAGGCTACAACAGAGAAATAAAATCTGCATTGGAGGCAGTAAAAACCAAAAGTGACATGGAGGCGAATTGACAGAGTGGTGTGGAAAAAACATTTCACAAGCCATTTAATATATGCAGAAAGATCTAAGAGCCGAAACAACACCGGGGGAGGAGGCGGGAGAATAGGCAAGGATCCTCAGATTCGGAAGTACAGATAACCCCTGAAGTGGAAACAGTACTCACTATCATACCAATTAGAACTAAAGAGACTTGTTGAGTTGGAAAGGGCTTTCCCCGCGTGCCAAGCAAAATCAGTAAAGGCAGATTCCCACTGAAACATATCACCAAGAAACTTATCCACAAGGAATTGAAAAGATTAAGTATCCGGGCAGAAAAACTCAAGCTACCCTTCTCTATCGAGGAAGAGATCACAAGCCAGCAGCCCACAGATTTCTCCTCTGGAACCTTGAATTCCAAAGAGACGGAGCTGAAGCACTGGAGTTTTAAGGAGAAATGTTTGGGATTGTCACATTCCCAAACATTCAACTGGGCAGGTTGGTTTGTTGTTAATGTGTGAACTCCTGTCACTTAAAACAACCACACACTGTCATGTGTGACAAAGCCCACTGACTCCAAAAAAAAAATAGCTTGGATGGGATCTGGTTCTGAGACGTAGCCTGAGGCTGATAGTCATTCCTGCGTCCACCCAGCATGGCCACAGCCTCCCTGCAGATCAGGGAGCACCTCACCAAGCCCTCTCTCCAGAGCAGCAGGGAGGGGCCGGCTGTGCACAGGGTAGGATCCTTGTCCTGAGAGGAAGACTTTAAAAAACCAAGTCTCTGTTCTTTCCCACAAAACTACAACCACCCCAAACAACCCACTGGGCTTTTAAAATTTTTCAGTGGTAAAGGTCTAAAGAATTATGTTACACACCTTTGAAAGCAATAACAAAAGCCATTGGGTTTCTTTTAATGGGAGAGGCAAATAAACCAATTGGTGGCAGAATTATTGGCCATGAGACACGGCTGTTATCTCTAACGTAGAACTTGTGAATGTTTGCGTTCAGTCCGCTTAGTCAGTGTGAGAGGAGCTCAAGAGAAGAACAAAATGGAAAAAAGATGAGGAACACACCCCAAAATATGAACATTGTTTAGCGCTTGAGGTTAGCATTTATATACATAGAGAGATACAAACATACAGCCAGCCCTCCATAACTACAGGCTCCATATCTGTAGTTGATTGAATTGATAGAAAACATTCCAAACTCCCTCTCCCCAATAATTAAAGAAGAAAAATTACACAAAATAAAAAAAATACAGTATGACTACTATTTGAATAGCGCTTACATTGTATTAGGTATTATAAATAATCCGGAAGTGATTTACAGTTCATGGAGGAAGTCCTTAGGTTACATGCAAATACCACGCCAAGGAACTATGGCATCCCTGGATTCTGCCATCTTTGTAGGTCCTGGAACCAATCCCCCACAGATACTAAGGGTAAGTGTTTTACATGTATATGAAGACAGATACATATATAATATTTCTACACGGAGTGCACATATAATCAGGAAAGAAATTCATTTTTTTCTTGCAGAAAGAAAGAGACTAGAGTATGGGGTAAGAGTCGCGCGAGTTAGAGCTTCACTGTTGCCTGCTCCTAAAGATAAATGGCTTCGCTTTTTCAGAAGGGATTGGGCCCAGGAAAACTGCCTCTCTGGGAGTCGAGTGGGGTGTGTGTGTGTGTGTTTTCTTATAAAATGTTTCAAGCATGTTTTCGGTGGGACAGTTGTATCCTGAGGCCCAGCCATAACGCTTTGTCCTGTTTTTCTCTGAATGGCTGGGCTTCCCAAGAAGAGATAAACCCTGGGAGCGAAACAGCTGGCGGTGCCTCTGCCCTTCTTTCCTCCCAAGGAAGCGCATTGTTATTAACTGGGAATTCTTTATAGCCGGGCTGGAGGAAGTTTTTGGCTGTAAACTGTCATGCACTGCAGCCTTCGCTGAAAAGGCGGAGGGAGTGGGCCTGGTCCTGGGAACTGAGGAACAAAGATCAGAAAATCAGCCACAGAAAGGGGAGGAAAAAGAATCGTTAGAAAGCGAAGACAGGTGACACTACACAAGTGCTGGCCAAAGTCGGTGACTTCCAACCTCTACCTCCCCCGACTTGGGTGGTTCAATTCCTGGGTCGTACTCTTCAACGCTTCGGACATTCTCTCTGGAAAGGAGAAATTTTATTAGGCATGTTAGAAACGGAACATTCTTTCCTGCTGAAGTTGTATTCTTATTTGGCCGTGCCCCTCCTGTTCGGAACAGTTTTAGAGGGATCTGTTAAATCCTCCAGTCTTCTTTGGCGCTTCCCGACTGTGGGAAAAGCGGCCGCGACGCCGTCCGAGCGCAGAGAAGGATTCGGCCTTCGGGACTCCTTTGCCTTGAAGCGGCAGAAGAGGTTTCGCTCTCGTGCCTGAGGTCCCGAGGCCCTCAATTGCCTGGGACCCACCCTCGTTCCTCCTTCACCTCCTCTCCACTTTTCCCTTTTATCCTATCCTTCGGAGGCCTTGGGCCAAAGCGATGACCTCTTAGACATTTTAATACCCAGAGTAAGGAGAGTGACACGCACCACGCTCTCCGCCAAAGCCCAGGGCCCGATGGGCCAATGAAGGCGTGTTAGGAGGGTCCGGCGTCAGGAGCAAATGAGGTCCTTTTGGTGCCTCTTTCCAGAAGGAAGCTTCCCCTCTTGGGTCAGCCCCCTGGGAATATCCGTGCATCCCAGACAACAAAAGACCCTGAGAAATGCGGACCGGGACAAGCCGTCCCGGCTTCCTGACTCATCAGTCTAAGTTGGAGAAGGGCTTGAAGGAGCCGTGTCCCCCCGGGGCGGCAGGCACCCTCTCCCGGGACTGGCTCCTGGGAACCCTCCGCACACCGCTAGGCGGGTTGATCCCTCCAGTCCCGGGCGGGGATCCCTCCGGCGGCTTCCCCAGCAATTCCCGACCCCGGAACGAGCCGGGCTGGGCAGTGGGGACTTAGTGCGCGGCGCAGATACCATGTCCGCGGGAAAGCTTCCTTGCTGGGGCTCAAGACTCCTCTGAACCCGCTGCCCCACCCGATGCGCCGGCTTTCTCCAGAGGGGCTGGGGCTGAGGTGCCCGCCCAGGAGACAGGGAAACTGAGGCTGCTACCCCAGGCCCTCGTCCAGCGAATGGCGAGGTGTGCAGAAGCGCAAAGCCAGGCCTTGGAAGCGGGAGCTTCTGCCTCCTTCCCCCTTCCTGGGCTCCCGTTTTAGGAGGAATGTTACTGTTTAAAGGGACCCCACTGAACTATTTCCTGCTCATTGTCACCTCTCCTTCGCTCTCCTCGCGTAAGTTCTCACCGAAAGGTAATAAAACAACCGCTGCTGACACCGCTTGGCGCTGGGCCGGGCGCGGAAAGCGCCCCGAGTCCCGCTTGTCAGGGACCACCCCGCTAGCCCCGACCCTCTCCCACCTTCTGCGAAAGCAATGACACAGCAGAAACCATGCACACGCCTGGGCACACTCGGTGCGCGCGCAGACCTCGGCATCAAGTCCTGTTTTTATAAGGGAGCGAGGAGGACACTTCCCAGAAGGGGTCGTTTTGCTTATGCTTATTTCCATCCATTTCCCTCTCTGCGCGCGGAGCTTCCTTTTCCAGATGGTGAGAGCCGCGGGGACACCCGACGCCGGGGCGGGCTGATCCACGATCCTGGGTGTTCGTGACGCCGCCTGGGGCTCCGTGAGCGAGGGACGTGTGGGGACAGGTGCACCGGAAACTGCCAGACTGGAGAGTTGAGGCATCGGAGGCGCGAGACCGGCACTACCGGGGCGAGACGAGCGCGGCGCATCCCAAAGCCCCGCCGAGTGCGCTAGTGCCTGGGAGGGGAGGGAGGCGCGCCTGGAGCGGGAACAGGTGAGGCCGCGCGGACGTTACAAGCTGGAGCGGCTGCGGGATCCGGGCGCGCTGGAAAAGCAAGCAGGATCTCGCGCGCGGGAATCGGGGAGCATCGCAGGCGGCCGGGCCGCCCCTCGCGGAAGTGTGGGCTGGGGCGGGCCGGGGCGTCCAGCTCACCTTCCTCCCGGGCTTGCCCCGCCGCTTTGATGGAGGTGCAAACATTTGGGGAAGGGCGGGGGTGTAGGGGCTGGGCCGGGGCTCGGAGGGCTGGGGCCCAGGATTTACATGAAACAGGCGTGCGGGAGCCCATTGTTGGCCCCCGGCCTCCCAGACCCGCCCGGCCGGGTCTGATATGGCCGCTCTCGGCCAATGGGCGGCTACCCGGCACTTCAAAGCGTGCGCGGCCCAATCCGCCGAGCCCCCCCATCGCTGCCGCCGCGACTCTATTTATGGGGAGGGCACTGAATTTCGGTCCCCAGAGACCTACTGTAGTAGAGCCTTGGGGAGTTCAAGTGGAATAACCTCTCCCCACCCCTCTGCCCCTGTCCCCTCCCCCAACGTCTTGGTCCGCGCCCTCCTCCCGGGTCTGTGTTGGGACCCGGGAGCCGTCACAGGTCTCCGCCCGAGGGGCCCCTTTTCTCGGAAGGGCGGCAGCCAAGAAGGGGGAAGGTGGCTTTCAGGTAGAGAGTCTGGGCTTCGGGGACGGCGGGGAGGGGAGCCGGACAGGAGGATGAACTCCCCCGACACCGAGAGCGCGGGAAAGAGCCTGCAGTACCGAGTGGACCACCTGCTGAACGCCGTGGAGAGCGAGCTGCAGGCGGGCAGCGAGAAGGGCGACCCCACGGAGCGCGAACTGCGCGTGGGCCTGGAGGAGAGCGAGCTGTGGCTGCGCTTCAAGGAGCTCACCAACGAGATGATCGTGACCAAGAATGGCAGGTGGGTGCGCGTCCGGAGCCCGCGTGCACCGCGCTCTTCAGCGCCTGGGTAGCCTGGGGGGCCTGGCAAGTTCCTGGAGGTCGAACTCTTTTTCTCCTGGAAGAGGGCTTTGTGTTTGCTCCCGCTCTGGTTAACTCCCTGGAGTGCATTTCTGCAAGCCCCTCTTTTGGGGTTTTCTCCGCGGAAGCTTGGGGAGGAGGAACGCGCACCCCAGGGTCCCGACCTCGAAGGCATCCGCCTGTCCCCTTCGGTTGTGGTCTCCAGCATTGAAACCCTTTGCCAGGTCCTCTCCGCCCTTGCCTCCTGAGGCCGTGGAGATGGTGGGGAGGCCACCCGGACCTGGTAGGGCTCGGGGAAAGGGGAGCTTGGGCGTCACCCTTGGACGTTCCCCAGGGGGCTCCTCCGAGCCCCGAAATAACAGAGGCCTCTGTGCCCAGTTTCTGCCTCTGGCCTACCCGGTCAGTGTCGGGGTCCTCCTGCGCCCGCCCGGTGTTTTCCAGGCGGATGTTCCCGGTGCTGAAGGTGAACGTGTCTGGCCTGGACCCCAACGCCATGTACTCCTTCCTGCTGGACTTCGTGGCGGCCGACAACCACCGCTGGAAGTACGTGAACGGGGAGTGGGTGCCCGGGGGCAAGCCGGAGCCGCAGGCGCCCAGCTGCGTCTACATCCACCCCGACTCGCCCAACTTTGGAGCCCACTGGATGAAGGCTCCCGTCTCCTTCAGCAAAGTCAAGCTCACCAACAAGCTCAACGGAGGGGGCCAGGTAGGTGTGCGGAGCCCGCCAGGTCTGGGACGAACGAGGGGGGTCCGCTCTGTGCTGCTTCTCAGGAGTTGTGGGAAGGGACGCTGCTTGAACGGGAGGTGACGTCTGCCCTGGAGAAACTGCCACGGCCTTCTCTAATAAGGCCTTTAGTGCTGTTTATACTAAGCTGATAACATCCACGCCTGGCGAATGGGGAGCGGGAGCACTCCCCTTTGAAGGTCTGGAGCTTTGGGGGAACTTCTGTGTCTAGTCCTAAACTCTCCTAGGGGTGGAAAAGATATCAGCCTTGATGGCAAAGTCGCATTTAAATTTAAACATGCGCCACAGTACTTACTGCGTGGAGTCTGAACAAACTTGTAAAGTCGTGCTTTTCTAAAGAACATTTCTTTAGTCGGGATTGTTCCTGGAAGACCCCAGGTTAGGCAAGTTGCAAACAAGCCCAGGCTTTTAAAAATGTCTATAGCCTTCCTGGAAGCCTTAGTACTTGATTCCACCAGGTGAAAGGATTTTGTGATGAGCATTCATTGCTTTTAATGGTGTGTAGCATCTCACATCCCGTTTCCAAACAAGCTGTGGGAATAGCACATATACACCGCCGAGAAGCCTCCCCTGTGGTAGAACCCCACTTCCCTCAACAGTAGAGACACTTTCCTGGGATCCAGAGGACTTTCTGCATCCTGGAGAAATGGATGTTTTGCCGTTTTAACGCAGGACTTTCAGTGCCACCAATCTTGTATCTGTCTCCCTCAGATCATGCTGAACTCCTTGCATAAGTATGAGCCTCGAATTCACATAGTGAGAGTCGGGGGTCCACAGCGCATGATCACCAGCCATTGCTTCCCTGAGACCCAGTTCATAGCGGTGACTGCTTATCAGAACGAGGAGGTGAGAAGGACAGAGGGGAATTGCTTTCCCCGTATGCTGCTCGGTGGAGATTCCGGGGGAGTGGGGAGATGCGCTAACCGCACCGAGAGCTCGGAAGGCTTCCTGCCCCTTCAAATAATTTTCCATAACTTGAAATGGAAGCACAGGGGACAACTGTTTAAAATAAGTCCCCATTCAAAATTTTCCCCTTGAATTCTCCATGAAAGTGTTTAAAACTAGAAACTTCTCAATGCTCAAAATCAAAAGATCCATAAAGCATTCAGGTAAAATGGTGTGAGAATTTCTTGAGAACAAGATTTGAGTGAGAGAGGGACATGTCTTTCCTTGGAAATCTTCCCCAAAGGGTGGGAGGGGGGCAGCCCCTCAAATCTCTGCAGTGTGAAGACTCAACTAGATACAAGCTACTGCATAGGTGCCTGTAAATCTATGCCTAAGCCCAACCCCAAAGTACTGCAAATTGGGGATTAGTTGGATACCAGTTGTTGGTGTTGACCGAAAACTAGAACTTCCAGGTCACTATTTCCTGAGTGGCCCCAGCTTATGTTTTCAGCCATTTCTGATTTATACACATGGAACATTGTTAGTAGTAGGCTAAATTTATTGTGAATCCCACTCAGAACATTGACAGTGAAAATTTTTCATAAACGTGCTACTCTTTGCAATTACTCAGCTATTTTCAGTTCCAAATAGAAAACTGTATGTGGAAAGAAGTCTGATTATATTTGAGTATTGAAAAGTGGTACTGGCGTTTCTCAATTTCTTGGTGCCAAATTAAATTCCCTGACTGATAGGGAATATATTAGTAAATGCAATTTCTTGTTTTTCAGATCACAGCTCTTAAAATTAAGTACAATCCATTTGCAAAAGCTTTCCTTGATGCAAAGGAAAGGTGAGAGAATTCTAACTATAAATACCCTTGGGCAAAGAAGTATGCAGAAAGATGATGTTGCTGCATACCCTCTTTTCTGAATTTCCTTCTTTTTGACAATTCGATATACTTTTTTTTTGTTTGTTTCGATAGAAGTGATCACAAAGAGATGATGGAGGAAACCGGAGACAGCCAGCAACCTGGGTACTCCCAATGTACGGTTTGTTGCACTCTGTCATGGCATTCTGTGTCATCCGGACTAGACTTGCTGAGAGCTGGGAAGTGGAGATGGAGAAGACAAGGGGGTTTCTGGGTGCGCCTGAAATGTGAGATCACCTTTCTGTCGTTCAAGGCTCTTTGCCCTGTGATGTTGAAACTGTGTTGCCTGTCTAACCTCTGCTCTAATTGGGGCTGTGGATACTCTCCTTAGTGCTTTTGTTTTGCCCTCAGGCAGCTGCCACCATGCCTGGGGTGGATCATTGAGACCTAGCTGGGTGTTTACACTCTCCTGTATTGGGCAACAGGAGAATCTAGCTCATTACATCCTCTTTGAGGCTTTCATTAATGGTTGAAGAGCCATCTTTCCAGTGACACTTAGGAACAAAATTTTTCCTTAGCCCTTTGGTTCTACAAATGACTCACCAGCTCCTGCTGGTTTTGGTGGAAACAGTGGCTCTGAGGATGAGAGAGCTGGATTTAAGTCTGGCTACCTCTAGGAGTTCCAGAAGTCGGATAGAGGATTATATAGCAGCATCTGTTGGGAGAAACGCTCTGTCTCACCCTAGGCCGTCCTCTCCACCCTGGGAAGGGACTTGGAGATGTTAAATAATGAATGCGGTAGCGCTGGCTGGTCAAGAGGCTGGATGAATCAACAGGGCACACTCCTCCTTACACAGGTGTTTTCTATTCTGAATATATTTTTCATCATTTCCTAGGCTGTTGAACAACCAGAAGGGCAGTCACTTGAGCAGAGTGAGCCACTGCTCTGGCCAGGGCCGGCTGGGCAGTGAGACACGTCTGCACCCTTCCTTTCAGTGCTGCCTGGAGAATTGTTAGTAGTTTGGAAATTGAAGCCAGAGTTGTTGTCCCCCTAGGGGTTGCTTTTTCTCATTCTAAACAACAAAGCTTAAAGAGTATAGAAGATGCTGGGCATGGTGGCTCATGCCTGTAATCCCAGCACTTTGGGAGGCCGAGTTGGATGGATCATTTGAGGTCTGGGAGTTCGAGACCAGCCTGGTCAATATGGTGAAAACCCATCTCTACTAAAAATACAAAAATTGCCAGGTGTGGTGTTGGGTGCCTGTAATCCCAGCTACTTGGGAGGCTGAAGCACGAGGATCCCTCGAACCTGAGAGGCAGCGATGGCAATGAGCCAAGATCACACCACTGCACTCCAGCCTGGGTGACAGAACAAAACTCCCAGTCTCAGAGGAGAAAAGATGAGTGGAGAAGAAATTGTAGTTTTAGAGGAAGGAAGGGGAGTCTTGCAAGCACTTTCTGATTCTCCTGGGGTGAACAGGGGGAGGCAAAACCAGGAGAGTGAGCAGTAAAGGGGTCTATCCCCAGCTAGGAAGGCAGCTCCCAAGTCTCTGTGGGTGGCAGGAGGAGAAGGGGAGGGCACCCTTGTCTAAGCACCACCTCACCTCTCTCAGCGTCTCTCACCTGCTCTCTGCCTATGGTTACATTGTATTCATGCTCAGGGGAGGAAAGCTGACCTGCCTTGGGGAATAGTAAATCTCAAAGCAATCCAGAGGAATCTCAGGAGGAAACAGCTTAGGTTGCCTGAGGCCAGGCTCCTGGGTTTATTCAGGTAGGATTGGAAGCCTTGGGTAACCTGTGGTAGTCAGTGTGGGGCTGATGGCCTCAGAGGTCTTGAGGCGGACTGTGTTTTAAGTATGAGGCACTCAGGGTGCTTCCTCCATCAGGGGTCCCTGAGGGGAAGGTGGGAAGTCCCTGGCCGGGGCTCTGCTCTCTGGAGTGGTGGAGGGAGAGTCCCTGGCCTGGGCTCTGCTCTCTGGAGTGGTGGAGGGAGAGTCCATGGCCTGGAGGGTGGAGGGAGAGTCCTCGGCCTGGGCTCTGCCTCTGGAGGGTGGAGGGGGAGAGTCCATGGCCCGGGCTCTGCCTCTGGAGGGAAGTGGAGGGAGAGTCCATGGGTCTGGGTTCTGCTCTCTGGAGTGGTGGAGGGAGAGTCCATGGCCTGGGCTCTGCTCTCTGGAGTGGTGGAGGGAGCACTAATGCTGGTTACTCAGCTCTCTCTCTCTTTTCTCACAGTAGGGGGCTGGCTTCTTCCTGGAACCAGCACCCTGTGTCCACCTACAAATCCTCATCCTCAGTTCGGAGGTGCCCTCTCCCTCCCCTCCACGCACAGCTGTGACAGGTACCCAGCCCTGAGGAGCCATCGGTCCTCACCCTACCCCAGCCCCTATGCTCATCGGAACAATTCTCCAAGTGAGTCCTAAGCCTCATTCTGCCAGGGGTTGGTGGGTGGCCGCAAGACCACTTTGGGAAAGGCATTCTGCAAGGGTCTAGAATCTAAAAAAAAAAAGAGACGGTTTCCTGGAACCCACACCCAAGCCCAGTTTTTTAGTAGTTCAAGAGATGACCTTCAATTTATGTCTATGCCACCGCCACCGCTGGCAGGGCAGCCACAGAGACCCAGATCAGAGGCTTGCATCCTTGCATGGGCCTTAGAGCTGGTGCTTCAGGTTTTGAAAATGACAGATTCCTGGGCCTCTCCACAGAACCATGGCTGATCCTTATAGGAGGAGAGCCCAGGTTCGAGTCTTTTATGAACCTCTCTAAAGTGACAATGACGAGCAGCTGGGCTCAAGAATTCCTGACTAGACGAGCGATTCCCTAAATATGGTGCCCAGGCCAGAGCCTCAGCACCACCCGCGAGTGGGCACTGTCTCAGGCCTCACCCCAGACTGACAGGCAGCAGCTCTCGGTGGAACCCGCAATGTGTGCTTTCAAAAGCCCTCCAGGCCATTCCAATGCATGCTCCAATATTAGAAACACCGGGACAGACCATAAAGATCCCCTGGCCTCATTCTCTCTATAACACTGTATATGTCTAGACTTAATTTTGTCTGACTCCAAAAGAAGGAAAATAGCCAAAGAACACCATAAAACAATTAAGCAATTAAAGCTGATTTGAAATGAAAGGACCTTATTGGGTTAGGAAGTCATTGGGACTTGTTCAACCAGAGGCTAGACTCCGAGGCAGGAAGGTCTTAGTTCTAATTTTGCCTGGAGTAATGGTTTCTATCGCTCATTGTTATGAAGTAATCACTGGAAAAAAGGCAGGGTAAATATATATTTATTTTTAAATATAGGTAATTCTAAGTCAAGTGATTGTAAGATTCAAGGTCTGCAGGGCATCTACTGATATGATGATAAGGGAAAAAGCTTGGGTTCCCAGGGTATGCTTTCAAATACATACATTTGGCAATAAATCTCAGCCCCTGATAACCACTAAAGACTAATGGATTTTTTCTATAGTTAATGTCCCAGGTACATTTTGTTTTCAGTGTTAGGTAGCTTCAGTTATTGGTGATATTTCAGTGTACTTTCTTGTTCTTGGAAGACACCATCTATAATTGCACTTTCTTACCTTCCCCCCTTAGCCTATTCTGACAACTCACCTGCATGTTTATCCGTGCTGCAATCCCATGACAATTGGTCCAGCCTCGGAATGCCTGCCCATCCCAGCATGCTCCCCGTGAGCCACAATGCCAGCCCACCTACCAGCTCCAGGTAATGTATGTCCAGGACATGGTGCAAAGCATCCTGGGAGCTCTGCCTGTGACCTCACGCTGTTCCCATTCCTATGGGCCCTTAGTCCTTATTCTCCTTGGCCCCTGTGGGTGGTTGGGTCTTTATTTAGAATTCTGTATTAGCCAGCTATGCCCAGGCATCACAGGTGACATGACTGTGGAGTTCCTGTTTGCAGTCTGTTCGCTGGAAGGACTGGGCTCCTTTACAACTGAGGTGTGGAATGGGAGCTGTGCTATCCCATCCCTGAATGAAACCAGGGTCCCCATCCTGGTTCTGCCACTTACTGGTTCATGTGATGGACAAGTCTCTTAGCCTCTCTGAGCCTCGGTTTCCTCACATATAAAAGGAAGGTGGTAAAAAAAATAACCCAGCCTCGGCCTGTCTCCTACAGGGTTGTTGGGATCAGTAGGCAGAGCTTAAGGAGATATTTTCAGAACCTTTTCCAACAGGAGCTATTAAATTAAGGAAATAAATGTGTTGGCTTTTCTACGGAGACAGGATCTAAGTCTTTAATGTATGTGCTGGCTAACTGGTAAAGAATGATGACTATTTTGTTACCAACTTGCAAATTATGCAGAGGGAGAATGGCTTAAAAATCAAGCAGGCTGGTAAATGTCTTACATTTCTTCATAGGATGAATATAAAAACCTAAAATACCAAAGCTAGACGTCAACCCTCATTTTCCAGGGAGGAAGGAGGGCCAAAGATACTAAATGACTGGACCAGCTCGCAGCAGAGCGAGCCTGGAATTAAGTGATCTTGACCTCAAAGGCAATGCACTTCATTTTCTAGAATACCAAAATATGCCTGAGATCTTAATTCTTGTCTAGAAAACAGTTCCTTCATAATAAGAATTACATTGCCTGTGATTAGAAACAGAACAACAATGCATAAACAAGGGAAGCTTTCATGGGCTCCAAGAGCATCGCCCCAGAAGCCTGCACCCGATCAGATGACCGGCACACTGCAAGCTGCTGACAGGGGCCCCACCCAAGGGTCTCAGTGTGGCTCTAATTGGGCATCTTAGAACCTTAAGCTTTCATCTGTAAAATGGCATAATAATCTGCCTCGATTAACTCAGACTTGTTTAACAGTGTGGTGATACAACATAAGGTCTCATTATTCACTTACAAGACAAGACATTATTCACTTACCAGACATTATTCACTTACAGAAAGACAAGATTATTTCCCAAAATAAAATCTTACCATAATTGAATACTATCCACTTCCATGTGCTTAGACTGGAGAATTTAGTAGTCATTTCCACCTTCCTCATTTTACGCGTTGCGAAACACAGCCTTATAAGTAGTCTCGGGCGAAGTGTAATGCGACAAAACTAGGTAAAGGAGGAACTGGGGACGGCTTCCTAGTCTGACTGCCAGGTGCTTTTCTTGCTGCCAGGCACCATGCTAGCACACCTATGTACTGAACAGGACGAAGTGCAGGGAACTGTGTCTGTACTGGAGTTACTCTAAGGAATGTCTGCTGCTTAGGGTGTTAGGAGAGGCTGGTCTTCATTGTGAGAATGACTGCAGTGTTGGGGGTGGGGTGTGCTAGATAAAAACGTGTACTTAAGCCCATCCTCAGTAACTTTTGATTGAGAATATCCGAAAAGTTTTATTCTGAATGAGAGTGCAAAACTACTGGTCTGAGTCTTTCTTTTCTGTTTTGTTTGTTTGTTTGTTTGACGGAGTTTCGCTCTTGTTGCCCAGACTGGAGTGCAATGGTAAAATCCCGGTTCACTGCAACGTCTGCCTCCCGGCTTCAAGCGATTCTCCTGCCTCAGCTTCCCAAGTAGCTGGGATTACAGACATGCACCACCATGCCCAGCTAATTTTTTTGTATTTAGTAGAGATGGGGTTTCACTATGTTGGTTAGGCTGGTCTCGAACTCCGGACCTCAGGTGATCCACCCACCTTGGCCTCCCAAAGTACTGGGATTACAGGCATCACCCACTGCGGCTGGCCTGGTCTGAGTCTTTGGTAGTGAAACTTAACAGTGCTCTTCCGTGAGCTCTGAATATGTGAATAACCTTTTCAGTCATCTTCCTGATGATTTTGTTTCTTATTAAAAGATACGACAGTAACTTCTATACATGACAGGATGTGCTTGTGAATCCTGTAATAATCTGGAGAAAATGACGGGTTTGAAAGAAAAAAGCGTCCTATTCCACAGTCACTCCGAATGGGATTTCTGGTGTGTTTTTCCGTCCTTAGCTGGCCTGCAGCCCCTGCCCAGGCCCTGCTCACTGGTGTCTTTCTGTTGCAGTCAGTACCCCAGCCTGTGGTCTGTGAGCAACGGTGCCGTCACCCCAGGGTCCCAGACAGCAGCCATGTCCAACGGGCTGGGGGCCCAGTTCTTCCGGGGCTCCCCCGCGCACTACGCACCCCTCACCCATCCGGTCTCAGCACCCTCTTCCTCGGGATCCCCACTGTACGAAGGGGCGGCCGCGGCCACAGACATCGTGGACAGCCAGTACGACGCTGCAGCCCAAGGCCGCCTCATAGCCTCATGGACACCTGTGTCGCCACCTTCCATGTGAAGCAGCAAGGCCCAGGTCCCGAAAGATGCAGTGACTTTTTGTCGTGGCAGCCAGTGGTGACTGGATTGACCTACTAGGTACCCAGTGGCAGTCTCATGGGTTAAGGAAGGAAATGCAGCCTCAGTAACTTCCTTTTCAAAGCAGAGGAGAAGCACACGCCGCGCCTTTCCCCAGAGCCCCAGCACCCCTTGCTCACACCTGCAGTAGCGGTGCTGTCCCAAGTGGCTTACAGATGAATCCACCTATGGAGATACTGCAGTCGGCCCAACCTGATTCACAGTGAAAAGATGTTTGCCAGGGTCCAGAGACTTTTTCTGGTTTATTTCTCATACGGTGTATTGGCAACTTTGGCACACCAGAATTTGTAAACTCCACCTGTCCTACTTTAGTGAGATAAAAAGCACACTCTTAATCTTCTTCCTTGTTGCTTTCAAGTAGTTAGAGTTGAGCTGTCAAGGACAGAATAAAATCATAGTTGAAGACAGCAGGTTTTAGTTGAATTGAAAATGTGACTTCTCTGCCCGCTAGAATGTGTGTATTTGGAGCACATGTAGCTAATCTCTTGTGTTGTTAAACTATAACTGTTTCATACTTTTCTCAAAGTAGACAAAGACAATCAGCAGAAAGCATTTTCTGCCAAATAAATGCAATATGCAAAATGTGATTGGTCCAGTTATTAGTCAAGCCTCTCCTTTTGTGAGTATTTACTGTTTATTGTAGCTGGTGGTAAAGACCTTATCCCCAAAATGCATTTTAATCTATTACTGACTTTAATATTGTATCTAATTTGTTGCAAAACTGGAAGTGAAATTTGCATAGACTTAGTGCTAATTGCCACAGCAATTTAAAAGATGTCAAATAATATTTAAGAGATTTACTCAACATCGAATCATGAATGACATGGATAACGACAGAACCTAGAACATACTGATGGCTTCAAGATGAATATAGGATGTCCACCCTATTCAAGCTAAAGTACTATACATAAAATAAATGGGTAAAAAACCACCATTTGTCAATGTAAAGCATAGTTACCATAGTACTTGGAACAAAATGGCATTTGTAAATGTCTTTCCCACTGCTTTTTCTCAAAAGCAAAACAGAACTGCAATGGTGCTAGATTGGGACAATTTCTCCATCTAGTGGCAGAATCCTTAATGTTGACCCTACTTCCAGCTTAGTATTCCAAATCTTGTATTCCTTACTATTCCAAGTACGCCTTAGTATTCCTTAGTATTCCAAGTTACAGGTGGCCAGTAGGTTAGAGCTGGGTTCATAATGCAGGAGTGTCAAAGCGGCATTATGAATATACTAGCAACATGGACATTAACGGTTAAGTTAAAAGGTTCAGGGATTTGAAACCGCCCACAGGCATAGCAAAAGTTTTTTCCAAGTCAGCATTGCTAACTTTACCGCTTGTCCAACTCTGACTTTTTTTTTTTTTTTTTTTTTTTTTTTTTTAAAGTTTTTTCCAAGTCAAAAACATAACTCTACTGCTTGTCCAACTCTGACTTTTTTTTTTTTTTTTTTTTTTTTTTTTTTTGAGATGGAGTCTCGCTCTGTGGCCCAGGCTGGAGTGCAGTGGTGCGATCTCGGCTCACTGCAAGCTCCGCCTCCCGGGTTCACGCCATTCTCCTGCCTCAGCCTCCCGAGTAGCTGGAACTACAGGTGCCTGCCACCATGCCCAGATAATTTTTTGTATTTTTAGTAGAGACGAGGTTTCACTGTGTTAGCCAGGATGGTCTCAATCTCCTGACCTCGTGATCCGCCCGCCTCGGCCTATTAAAAAAAAGCTATTTTTTTAATGCATAATTTCAGTATTTAACATAAATAGTGAAAATCAATCCTAGTCTCATACTGCTTAAAACAGGGACAGAAAATTCTGTTGGTTTTGGTTTCCATTATACAGCAAAAGCTAATTGCTACAGATGGTCACACAAAAGACAACTGCAATGTTAACTCTTGGCATTCATTAGTAGTTTAATTGTTATAAACAACAACACTTGTTATTTTCAATGTATACATATGTTGGTAGATAAAACACATAACTATAAGAGCTCTTGCAGTAATAACATTCAAGTCTTTTGGTAAAATAGTTTATGCTCACTATAATTAAGAATAACTTGATTAACACTTGTGGGTGAATTCCTACAAAATAATGGTTGTATAATGATGTTTTTGCACAATTGCTGTTTTGAGTTTATCCTAGACAGAAATAGAGAGCATGTACCCTCTTGGATAATATTGCAGTTTATCCAAAAATTTTCCAGAGAAACTAAAAGGCTAAGTCATCAAATTATATCAGAACAAAGGTTGAGACTTTTGCTCCCATGATAGTTCATTGAAAGGAATAAAAAGACAAATGGCATAGATATTATAATTTCCTCTTATGTACCAGCAACGTTGACAACACATCCCTTCAATTCTGTCACCAAAGAAATATAAAGAAGTTCATGAAGGTAAACTTTTGGGCAAGCAATACATATGTCCACGCATCAAGTTAAACAGGAAGAGGGATTGGTGGACATGAAGAAACTAATTAAGCTTCGACATAAGCACCAGAGAAAGGAATTGGAAAATACATTTTTTATTCTTTAAATCTCTCTAAAAGATAATTGACTGTTCAGCAAAAATAATGACAATGCATTGTGGGTTTACGATATGTGTTTAAGCAAATATATAGTAGAAATAGCTGTAGGGTTGGGGAGAAGTGAAACTATAATATTGTAAGGTATTACACTCTACATTATACTCTATGTATTATGTCATACATCAAGTGGTATAATGTGACTTGAAGGTCGACTGATGAGTTAAAGATGTCTGCTATAATCTCTAAAGCAACAATTAAAATAACAAAGACAACAAAGGAGATAAAATACAATTACAAAGAATATTCAGCTCAAAGAAGGCAGAATAAGACGAAAAAACAAATAAAAAGATGGGACAATTGGAAAACAAACAGCAAGCTGGTAATTTTAAACTTAGCCATAGCTGGGCATCGTGGCTCATAGCTGTAATCCCAGCACTTTGGGAGGTTGAGGCAGGAGAATCACTTGAAGCCAAGAGTTTGAGACCAGCCTGGGCAACAAAGCAAGACTGTCTATAAAAATTACTAAAAGAATAAAAAACAAGCAAACAAAAATTTAGCCATATCAATCATCATGGTAAGTGTAAATGGTCTAAACATTCCAAATAAAAGACATACATGGTCAGATATAAGTTTTTTTAGAAAAGATCCAATTATATGCTCCCTACAACAAATGCAGTTTAAATACAAAAGCACAGGGCTGAGCATGGTAGCTCACTCCGGTAATCCCAGCACTTTGGGAGGTTGAGACAGGAGGATCACTTGAGTTCTGGAGTTCAAGACCAGCCTGGGCAACATAGGGAGACCCTGTCTCTACCAAAAATAAAATAAAATAAAATAAAATAAAATAAAATAAAATAAAATAAAA